GCGCCTGGGATGGGTAACGATTTTCTGGTTGAGGGTTGCCTTCCTGAAGGAAAGGATCCGAGGCAATCTCCCTGCCTGCTGCCCCAGCACGTGCCAACCCTCTTCTGGGCCTTGAATCTGAGAGTTCCCTCAAGTGTGTGGGCCTGACTCTGAATGGGGGACCCAGAGAAGAAGGTCATGGCCTTCTGGGAAGGAATCTGGGTGATTCTACACTGCACATCCCCCCCCACCCCCGCATCTATTTCTCTATATTCCAGAGTCAAGCCCACTGAGACGCTTAGAGAATATGTGTAGCCTAGACCCAGTCCCCCCAGGCCTCTTCCCCACCCATACCCACACCCTGCTCCCCTCCCCCAGCTAGGGACCCTGGGATGGGCAGCTTCCTGCCTTCCCCATGGGGAAAGCGGGGGTGGCGTGCAGGTGGGCGGGCCCCTGCCCACATCCGGTGACTGCGAGAACCTCCCTTCGGAGCCTTTTCCCCTCCACTCTAAGCCCAGTGGCACCCATGCCCTGCCGGAGACCCTGTCCTCACCACTGCTTTGCCCTGCCCTCCTATCCCTGCAGGCCCTGAAGGAAGCATGAACACCTAGTCTCGGGCCAACAGATCCGAGTGTGACCCCCATATGTATTGAGGGTGCAGGTCTTACCTCCTGCAGGCTGGGGCTGGGGAGGGGTGGTTTTGTGGGGCACTAAGGGCACCTGATTATGTGGATGGCACCGTGATGTGCTGGCCCAGACCCCCTTCATGCACCTGCTCCTCCGTGGCCTCTCTGGGTAGCACCTGGAGAGGAGCCACAGACAGCTTCGTCTGAATGCCACTGCTGTCCCGAAGGGAAGGGAGTTTTCTGGGCTGGGGTCAGGGAAAAAGGCCTTTTCTTATGCTGGAATTCAGAACTCAGAGTTTGGGCCCTCACCGAAGGCCCCGACAGGAGCCCCAGTGCCCTGAGTCGGTCCCAGACTCTTGAACAAACCTCTGGGGCTGGCGCCATGGGGGAGGGGTAGGCCTGGGGTCCCGGAAGCCACCTGCCCAGGGTGTGTGAGATGGTCTCTTCAGCCCCCCTCCTGCCAGCACCCAGGCTTGTCTCTGGTTTCCTGTCAGTCTGTCCTCCCCAGGGAGGGGAGGGGCACGCTAATCTCTGAGGCCGTGTGGGGGCGGGCTCCAAGACCGTTGGGCGCCCTGAGATCTGGCCCACGTGGCCTCGGGGTTATAAGCCCTGCCCGCCCTGAAGGGAACCCCACTTGGGAGCCTGGAGCACAGGGCTTGCTCCCCTCAGCCCTGCAACATCAGGTAGGGGTCTGACCCTTCACCTCAGCCCCAACGGGGACTCATCGACCCTGGGCCTCAAGGGGCCATGAGGGGCTTGGGCTGCAGCCCTGGGTGGAGATGGTTTCGGGAGGGGCTTCCGGGGCTTGGGTGCCTGCAAAGCTCACCAGCAAAGCTTTAGGCAAAGCGGTGCGATAGCCCTCAGGTCCACCGCCTTCGTGGTGGGACAGCTTCTTAAAGTTGTGGGTCTTGACTTCCCCCCTGGACAAGGAAGAGAAAATGGCCCCGGGTCCCCAGATGAAGAAAGCCGGTCCAAGGCTTCAAGAGCCAAGAGCTGGAGACAAGGGTGGGGATGGCAGAAGGCGGGCAGAAGGTGGGCAGAGGGTGGGCAGAGAGTGGGCAGAGGCTGAAAAGTGGGATTTGATGTCAGTGAGGGGCCCTAAGCATCTCCCTCCACCCAACATGGCCACCAGCTCTGTGGCGATAGCCTTGGGCTCCTGCCTGGGGAGCCACCCAGCAGGGAAGGGCTCAGGGCCTTGGGCTGGTGAGGAGGCTGGGAGCCAAGGCCTTGGGGGAAGGAGGCTGGAGACTGAGGCCTTGAGGGGAGGAGGCTGTGGCTGCCTCAGTTGGACTCTGGAGGGTGGGCAGTGTGTCTGGCAGGGGTCACTCAGGGGGTCAGAATTGGGGACTGGGGTGAGACCTGATGAGTAGTGGTGGTCTCTACCTGAGTGGCCCTGAAAGTGGGGGGATGGGGTGGAGCCCCAGGGGGAAGGGAAGAGGGAAGCAAAGAGGAAGTGGGGGGAGGGAGGGAGGTAGGAGGCAAGGTCTGGCGCCATGCTGAGTCACCGCCCACAGCCCAGGGCGGGCCCTCTGGGGGCCATGGGGCTAGGTGCTGGGGTCTTAGGAAGCCACTGGGAGGGTTGGGGAGGGTTGGAGGCTCTTGAAACAGGGGTCAGGAGGAGGAGCAGGCGGCCTGAAGAGACCGACAGATGGACAGACAGACAGTGCAGTCACCCATAAAGTAGAAAGCACTACTAACAGCACTGGAGGGTGTAGTGTTTCCTACTTTATGGATGAGTGTACTGTGGGCTTCGGAGACCACGCCGCTGCCGCCGCCTGCCACCGTCTTCCTCCAGGCTCCGGACCACGCGTGACAGGTGAGCCCCTCAGGCACCCTCCCCGCCCTGCCCAGAACCCGGAAAGGCCTCCACCGCCCCCATGGCACTATCCTCCTGGTATGGCCAACCGGGGGAAATGCCACATCAGCTCCTCTGCTGCCCGAGGTCTGGGAGGGCTGGGCATCGGCACCTGCTGCAGCTGCGAGAGGCTCCAAGTGGGGGCCCAGCTGCCTGGACAGACACCGGGACGAAGAAAAGGCGGGAAAGGAGGGGAGATGGAGGGGAATGTGGGGTGGTGTCTGGGACCCCAAACTAATAAACAATCGACTCTGCTTCTCTTTTGTCTGAGACTTTGTTGCCGGGGATTGGGTGGGAGGGGGTGGGCGAATGGGCTTAGCGAGCACATGGAGGGGTGGGCACACAGAGGGGCTAGGAGAAATGGGTTTGGCCTGCTTGTGAGACCAGAAGAGGGCTCAGGGCCTGCCAGGCCGCAGCTGGCAGAGGGAGGATGGGCCTGGGGTGAGACCTTCCGGCAAACCCAGTAAAGGGGACATGACATGGAGGGGCAGGATTATGAGGGGCCTTCCCAACTTTTATCCTAGCTCTGGCACTGCCCTGCCCTCCATACCCCCAAACTGAAGCCTGCTTACCTCCAGTTCTAAGCTAAGAAGGCCTAGGGTTCCTGGGCAGTATAAGAATTGGGCACAAACACACTGGCACGTACACAAGCAAAGCATCAGATACTAATATACAAAGCTCACACCCCAGCACGCATGTGCATTTATACACAGGGGCCCCATACACATGCTATCGACACATGTGTACGAGGACATATACCTGTGACATGACTGGCATGTCACAGAATGACACAGGGATAGACACACTCAGAACACATACATATTCAATAGTGAACACACATACAATGATATAAACATGTGTGTCACAAGCAGAAGAGCATACAAATTCATACATAATGACATTCACATAATAAACACATTGATTCCAAACACACACACAGAGTGACACATTCATACATGATGATAAATATATAATAAATACATGGTGATATATAGACATAAATAAAACCATGTCATTACCCATACTGACTACATGAGAATGTGTCATGTATTGTGTAGTGCCATATAATGCCATTCATATACACATATGGCATATGTGTTATAATTTTAAAAATATATTTTATTACTTTCAGAGAGGAAGGGAGAGGGAGAGAGAAATAGAAACATCAATAATGAGAGAGAATCATTGATTGGCTGCCTCCTGCATGCCCCCTACTGGGGATCCAGCCTATAACCTGGGCATGTGTCCTTGACCGGAATTGAACCCGGGACCCTTCAGTCTGCAGGCCAACATTCTATCCACTAAGCCGAACCGGCTAGGGCAAGTGTTATAATTTATACATTCACACAATCATAGCCTTACATGCACATAAAAATACAGGCACTGTGGCAAGTAGACATATGCAATGTCATACACAGAAACATGCATACCCAACGAGACCCATAGACACAGAATATCACATACATAATACATATGTGTGTGCATATATGAAATAATACCATGGCCCCACACATATACAGAGATAAGTACATGTCTATTCTATATATGCCTACTATACATCTGTGTGCACATAATGATATGCATTTATACTGGCATACACAACAGCAACACACATCAGGTAGTGGTGCACACTCTGACCTGCCCACTGCTTTAGGAAAGTGAGGATGGTGCCCCCTCCCCATTCACCCCACCCACAGTTCCAGCAGCTCTAGCGTGCTGGAGCTCATGGTTAGGGGCGCAGTATGGCTGCCGCTGTTCCCCAGGGTGCCACAGGAGGGCCCCCGACCTTGGCTGAGGCTGGCTTGTGCGCAGATGGACAGTCCCAGGTTCAGAGGGGCCAGGGGCAGCCTCCCTGAGGCCTCTCCCAGCACCTTTGTCTCTGAGGACTTCATCTAGGCTCCTGCCCCCATGTACTGGATGACTTGTAAGTGGGGGAGTTCCCATGTCCTTGTCCAAAAAAGCCATTTTCCCATAGCAAAAAAGGCCTCCGGCTAGACAGAAGACGAACTTCCTGACAGTGCGGAGCATAGCAGCCCGGAAGACCATGTGGTCTCCTCTACTGGCCGGAGATGGCCGAGTCGCCCCCAAAATACTCCCTGCCAGGAGGAAGCTGAAGCAATTCTCTCAGCCTATTTCTGTCTCCGTCTCTTTGCTTCTATCTTCCTGTTTTCATTCTCTTAATTTCTGTTTCTCTTTGTTTCATCTCAAATCCCTTTTTTTTCTATTGCTGCCCTTCTTCGTGGCTAGAGCTCTGTCTGTCCGTCATACCACCTCCTGTCTGTCTCCTGTCTTGGGCTGGGGCCGATGTGGGGAGGACCCGCTGCAGCCCCCTTGCCTGTGTACCCCGGGAGGTATGGGGGTGTGTGGGAGGTCACATGTGGGGGGCATTATGCTGGGATCCCGTGAGGAACCTGCTCTTCCCTCTGTCCCGACCCTATCTGCCGGTCCAGCCCACCAGTCCAGCGCCATCACCATGGAAACCGGCAGCCGACTTCCTATTGGTGGGCGGGAGGGGAGGGGGAGGGGAGGGGACGGCTGGCTCTTCCCTGCTCACCCCCTAGATTCTAAGGCTCAGCCTTCTCCGCGCCCATCATCTCGGGGGTCGGGGCTGTAGGGGACCCCTGCAGTCCCCAGAGCTGAGGCCAGCAGCGATAGAGACTATGAGGCGAGCAGCCCACCGACCCAGGCCTCCTTAGGATCAGCCGGGTGCCCAGCACGCTATCCAGCCAGCAAGCAACAGCGGAGAGAGGAGCGGGAGATAAAGGACCACAACGGACCTTTGGGGATCACCCCCAGCAGCCTGCGGACCCTAAGCCGGCTGAGGGGTCGTGATGGATGGCCAGACTCACAGACGCTGACGGACACACAATGACACGGATGCACACAGCTGCACAACACTGAGAGGCTCGGATACCAGCAGTGACAGCATCACATACTGCCACAGCCCTGCAATACAGACACCCACACACACAGAAACAGCTGGTAACTCCGAAACAGGCGCAGACAGTGACACACAGAACCGCTGCCCTCCAACACACACAAGTGGGGATACCACCCTCCAAACGCGCACACAAGGCAGCGCTGACCTGAACGGACAGACCTGGAGACACGCACACCCAGGCTCTGCTGTCGGCGGCTTCTGCACACCCTCCCAGCCCTCACGGGGCACCCTGGCACATACACAGCCACAGACAGACATAGCTCACATACCCCCGGCTCTAGCTCTGGCCATCCCGACTCCCACAGCCTCCTTCGTGGGTGAGGAAGAACTCGGCCAACCTCGGATGGAGCCCCGGTAAAGCCAAGAGCTCAGAGAGGAAAGGGTTTGGTCTGGCATGACCCTTGCCAGCCCTTCCACTTGGCTGGGTGATGTCCCCCAGCCCGAGTCCTGGGGCCCCTTGGCAGTACCATGGAGCAACTGACACCCCTCCTACGGCTGGGGGACCCCAGAGCTATGGAGCCATGGGCACAGCCTGCCTGGCAGAGCTGGATTCCAGGACAGGAGGGCGAACCTGGAGGTGCAGCCCCAAGCACTGCCGATACTCCGGCAGCTCTGCAGGTTGGAGAACGGAGGCCTTTGGAGAGCTCTGAGTCCAAGGGAGCCTGGAGCCCTGGGCCTGTGGGGGACATTGACCCTGAAGGAACAGAAACGGGGCTGCCCAGCTTGGGGCAGCAAGCAGCGAGCTCCGGACCCAGCTGCCCAAGGCTGGAGGACCAGGAGGTGGGGGCTTTCCATGAGGTAAGCGAGCGGTGGAGGGCTTGGTCTGAGAGGTGGGGGGGCCTCTCCTCATGGGCATGATAGGCAAACTCGCTGCCCACCTCTCCTCTCCTGGTCTGTCTCCATCTGTGGTTTCCAATTCTGTGACTATCTGTCCTCCCTTCTTTGGACAGGGATCTCAGTGGCTCCATTTCTTGCCATCTGTCTGTCCTTCTGACTCTCTGCCTATCTGTCTACATTGGCCGTGCCCCTACCCCCCCCCCCTCTGTTACTCTCTCTCCGACAGTCTGTCTGTCTGTGTCTCCTCCTCCCTTAGTCTCTGTTCTTGGGGGCTGGAGGATACTGGGGTACGTGGAGCTATATGGTGGAATCAGAGTGCAGAGAAAGTGGATTTAGGGGAGGGGGCTCAGTGTTGAGCTCAGCCAGGGAGGACAAGGTTTGGGGTGGGTGTGAGATGGAGGGAGTGGACTTTGGGGGAGGGGACCCAGGGACCATGGAGCCTGGAGGGGTGGGCATGGGAACTTGAGCTGGCATTTCCCAGGAGGAGGTGAGCAGGGATGGGAAGAATTGGGGACTACCAGAGAGGGTCCCAGGATCGGGGGTGCCCGCGCGGGCAGGGAGGACTAGATAGCCCTTCTCCTGGACCTCCTGAGCCGACTTTGAAAGCCTGGGATGTGGGGGAGAGCCTTCCTGTCTGCGTGTCTCTGGGGGCCATGGTGGGAGGGTGCTCGCTGACTGGGTCGGGTGGGTTCCTGAGGCCCTGTGCCCTGCCTTTCCCGTGCCAGGGCAAGCTGGGCATGGGCTTCGGGGACAGGCCCAGCCTGGAGCTGCTGAGGGCCCTGAGGGAGCTGCGGCAGCACTGTGCCATCCTCAAGGAGGAAAACCAGAGGCTGGTGAGTCCTGGGTCCTGGCTGGAGCTGGGGGAAGGCAGACTCAGACACCCTGCCCCTCTGCCTCAGTGTCCTCCTCACCCCGTATATCCCTCCCGCAGTGGGGGCCACATGGAGGTGACATGAGCCCTGACCCAGAGAGGGTGAGCCCTTATCTAGAGTTGCTGAGGACTCCACTGTGAGCCCAGGGCTCTAGCCCAAGGCCCGGGCAGTCAGGATTGGGTCAGCGGGGTGCTTCCCACATGCCCTATCCTGGCTGACCCCTTGTCAGAGGAGGAGCAGCTTTCCAGAGACGGAGGAGAAGGTGCGGAGGCTGAAGCGAAAGAACGCCGAGCTGGCGGTCATTGCCAAGCGCCTGGAGGAGAGGGCCCGGAAGCTGCAGGAGACTAACCTGAAGGTGGTGAGGATGGGAGGCCGGAGGCTGCAGGGTGAAGGCTGTGTGACCAGGGAAGAGGGAAGTCAGGGCTGGGCCTGAGGGGTGGGGTTTAGGAGTCGTGGACTCTTAGCACCCAGGAAAGCAGGAACTCGGGGGGCCAAAGTGTAGGAAGGGCAGATGCTGGCCAGGCTAGGAGGCTGAGGCTTTCTGGAGCTACAGGAGGGAGGGAAAGGCTGGGCGGGGAGTGCCTGAGCAGGCAGGGAGCAGAATTCTGGATTACCACGTGCATGTGCTGGCTACAGTCTCCTGCTGAGCTCATCTCTGGGTGCAGAGCCTGTGGGGGCAGGGATGAAGACCCATCACAGTGGCAGCCCTAAATTAGCAGCATCCTTTGAGCTGAAACTAGGATGTGAGGTTAACTCTGTCAGTCCTGCTTGAGGATTGCGGGGGTCAAATGAGGCTGTGGGTCCCGATGCCCCAGACACAGGGTAAAAGCAAGAGGCCACACTTGTAGGTTTTCAACCTAACCCCTCCTTTGGGGGGAGCTGAGAAGTGGGAGAAGTGCCCCAGCCCTCAGATGACCATTGGGCCTTACCCCTCCTCTGGCCAGGTGAGTGCCCCTGTGCCCCGTCCAGGGCCCAGTTTGGAGCTGTGCCGAAAGGCCCTGGCCCGCCAGCGAACCCGGGACCTCAGTGAGACAGCCAGCGCCCTGCTGGCCAAGGACAAGCAGATTGCTGCTTTGCAGCGGGAGTGCAGGGAGCTGCAGGCCAGGCTCACCCTGGCGGGCAAGGTGCGAGGAGGCCCTGGTCACCCCATCCAGCTCAGTCCTACCCAGAGCCACTTGCCTGGCTTGTTGGGATGTGGACCGAGATGTTAATGAGATGCAAATGAAGCGGGAAGGTGGAGGCTGCTGGGGAGTAGGTTCCCCTGGCAACGGCCCAGGTGGGAGCGGGGAGAAGCCTGAACTGAAGGGGGCGGAGCCATGAGTCCCAGACCTGGGTGTTTCTGTGCTCCAGGCTTCAGGCTGTGCGCCAGTGGGTTTGGCTGTATGAATCCACACATGTCTAACACTTGCATCAAGTGATATTCACAAGGCATTTAGCACAGTGCCGGGTACACGGCGAGTGCCCAGTAAACGAGTCACCGTATGTCTGCACGCGGGCTAGCAAATGCTATTCGCACGCACCTATGACCAAGGCATGTACTCGTATGCATGGGAGGATGTGCACGTTCCCGCGCATCAGAGCCCCTCTAGCCAGGGGACAAGTTGGGGGAGGAGGTGGGCAGGGGTTTAAGCCAAACTCCCCTCCCTGTGCCCCAACCCAGGAGGGCCCCCAGTGGCTCCACTTGAGAGACTTCGACCGACTGCTTCGCGAGTCCCAGCGGGAGGTGCTGCGGCTGCAGAGGCAG